TTATTTCAACTCCTGCACAATAGAATTAGAGCCTCGCAAGCTTCTTTCAATTCCTTCCAGATTTCTGTAATGTTTACAAGAAAAACTAATTAAAAAAATAAAAGGAAGCATTACGTATCTGATAGGCCAATCCTTCAACAGATTAAAAATAACATATAAAATTTACCATTGCTCAAAAGATGATATCATCATAAGCACATCTTAACAGGTTCTCCTAGCTCGACAAATTCATTCGATTCTACATCACAAGATAAAAATAATACACTAAATAACCTAGCTTCCGTCATAATTATCAATTCTGCAGCTTTTATGATTGAGCACTAACCTCATTTCAAAGATAACGTAAACTCGGCCAAAATCTGCACAAAAATTTAAAAATAAGGCCAAAAGTTAAAGAAATGCAGAGATAGACAAAATGTTCACCCTTTCCCCACCTAAAAATCTCATATTACCTCGTTTTAAAGTAGATTGAAAATCATCCTCTAAATACTCAAATCTCCTCCTCCATATCCAGTTCAAAAAGAAACCTAACCTGGAAAAACAAGGTGAAAAATCCATAAAAGCATGAATGTCACCTAACAATCCCGGCCAATAGCCAGTTTGATTAGTTTTCTCCACTTTTTCCCATAATTTCCATCAAAAGAAATCGAAGAAACAAAGAAGCCAAGATTTACAACCTCACACCGAAAACAAGGCGAAGAACACACCTTATACATCCTATCTTTCGCGGTTCTCAAACACTTCCTTCCCGCCTCTCAAAATTCCGCCATGCAAGCCCGCAGAAGCCTAAAATCTAGGGTTCCGGAGCCCAAAAAAATCATGTAGAGGACTATCTCAGATCACTCTTCGTCGAGTTTTTCATGACTCTTGCTTTTTTTCAACAGGCGAGATGCAGAGAGGGAGAGAGGCACTGTTGTGGCAGTACCTGTGAAGTGAGAGAAAGAATGTGAACTTAAGGATAGAGAGAGCGACTGAGCGAGAAAGCCTGTGTAGAGAGAGAATGTGCCTTTCAAGAGATAGGGTGTGCGTTTGAAGAGAGTCCCTGTCGAGCGAGAGGAAAGGAGAGGGAGAATGAGAGGGGAATGGATTTTGTATACTTGCGTTTTATGGCTCCAGCAAATGACCACGCGACTCTAGCCTGAGCGCCGCTGCCTTTGTGCAGGTGGCCTATTCGACACGTGGAATCCGGTCATTGGATGACGTAGTCATAAAGCCAAAGTACATGAGGAGTCCGTTTTACGTTTCCGCCACCACAAATGACGCACAAGCCCTATATAAATTGGCGGAATATCAGAATTGGGCATGTAGTTTTTGTGCTTGAAGTCGAGAAATCCGGAAAGGCCCCTAACGCTGTTCTAGGGTGACTCTTTCTTTTGGAAGGTGTATTGAGATCCATGTAATCGCAAATCAATGGTCCCGTGACTCAACACCTTCCAATTTGTGGATGGACGGTGATCTTTAGAGAATGGGTCCCGAAAATGTTCTTATGTTTCTTTCTTACCCCGCCTGCCTTGGATTATAGGTATAGGGTCGTTTTGACAAATGTCGCAATTTGATCTAAGAATAGTGAGGGTATTAAATTTTCCCTTAACCCATCCTATGCTCGAATAAAGGGGTTGGGTTGTGTTAAGTACGTGACCGATATAAAAGTCAAGTGGTAGATCTAAAAGGACATTATTTGAAGTAATGAGATAAAATATAGAGATTTATAACCTTATTGAGGGTATGACTTTTAATAAAGCAAAATGACGGACCTCGATTTGTGTAGCGGATCTCAATTAGTTGGAAAAAAATTTTAACGATGTGATGATAACAAATGACGTAATTGTATTTGAATGGGTTGAATCTCATAATACAAAAAAGATAAAAAAATATATATACAATAAGGCTATTTATTTTTTATATAAGGATGTCACGATTATTTATTGCTAAATGTGAATTGAGATGTGTCATTGGTTGTGCACAAAGTCTAAAATAAAATTTATCAAATGTTGTAATCTACTTCGATCCATCAAGATGTGTCGTTGGTTGTGCACAAAGTCTAAAATAAAATTTATCTTGTAATATACTTCAATCTATCATATTGCATCCAATAGTTAACAGTGATTATGACCATCCTATACAAAAAATTAATGGCCTTATATAATCCCACAAGATATATTTGAAATGGTCCTCAATGTTTTAAATTCCTACCTTGTCCCTAGGACTTAGCAAGGGCTATTAGAGAGGATGATCATGAGCGGGCTTGCATCGTAGGGTAAGCTACCAAGATTGAAAGATAAAATATAAAAAATATGGTTGAGCTTTGAGGATCACTAATCTATTTTACTTCGAATTTTTTATGTCAATTCTCTTCATTTTTTCTTAGCATAAGTGAAACTACTGGTGCGTAATAGTTCATTAGCCCCCAACTTTTCTCAAATTTTTTTTATTCGACATGCAAATGCGGGCTGCGAATTCCTCCTTCGATCTCGGTCCTCTTAGTTTTCACTATGCTGTAAGGTGGTGGGCTTGTATATTCATTGCACATCAACAGTGGAAATCATCCAATAAATCTTCTCCCGTGTCCATGCTCAATGAATGGTGGAAGTGTTGTGTTCGAGAAATGGTGGAAATGATATGGTCTCGTCGAAAAAGAGACAATGGCGAACTTGAGCAAAAATGCTGGTTCATTTCTACCGTTAGTCATTGAGTATGGATGGTAGAATCGACATGTATCATGCTAATTGTATGATACATCTTCATACATATATACTTTTCCCCGAGTAAGAGGCCATTCTTGAATATGTACCTATTCTTAGCCTCACTTATAGCTTACATGGAGGTCCATCCCACTGCATGTCTGATGCAGGAATCAGGGACGACAGTGAAAGTGTGATGGTTGCAATACTACTTCTCAAGTTTGATTCCTACTGCTGAATTTAAATTGCTCGAAAGCGGTATTGCTAAAAAAATGATAAATAGAGACCTACATGTATTAATAGGACCGCAAAGCTTTTACAAGTGATAGAAGGAAGACAATTTTTTTAAAAAAAACTATGTTAACGGTGGGTAGGATATTATGTTGAAGCATTTGCCTCCCAAACCACCAATCCCATTCCCAGTAGAAAGACGAGTATTCCTATAGTGACCATGCTATCTAAGCGAGAATAATATTGTCTGAATCATACTTGACAAGGAGATAATATTTTACCCGATAATATATAGTGATTATATTCTTACAAAGATGTGTAGTTGGATAATATGGATGACTATAGAAGAATTTAATCTGAAGATTATATGCGCGTGCCAAAGAATATTGTCCAATTACATAGGGAGTATATTGTCTATTTATTCCCTCGAGTAAAACCCGTTTAAGAATACTGGTAGGATCTCAGATTTAGGGGACATAACCTCCTCAACCTAGCAGCCAACTTAAAAATCAACAAAAATAATTTTTTAAATATGTTTTATTGAAAAGAGGTAACCTCCAAATATCGAGGAGATAAAGATCAATTTTCAGATGGTTCAATCTAACTATCTAGAGACTCAAAATTCAATTTTTTTTTTTTTTTGAAAATACTCATTGCATAATTTTGAAGGTGATCCAGCAATCGAAAAAATCCTCCAAAGCAACTATTCTTATTAAGGGATATCTATAATCCAACTGTGTGAGCCTTTATAAAATGTGAAGGTTTCGGACATTTTGGCGTTATTTTTAATGGATTACCAATGAATTTTTTTAGGGTCTACGTGTTATTTTGTAGTCCTTCAAATGTTACAGACATGAGCTTAAAGACATGTTTGATTGATGGAATAAGCGACTGCCAAAATGACATCTTCTTCAACCAAGTCTAAAAGCCCAAGCTTCCATGGGATAGCATGCTCCTCTCCAACTTCTATCATGGCTTCCGCAAATCATCTTCATTTTAAGGCTAGTTTGGAAGCCGTTAGCCACGCTTCCCGCATAACAATACACGGAAAATGCTATAAAATTGAAATTTCCCACCAATCAAACACGACGTAAGTGATATTCGGCATCCCACACTTCTTGTCATTTACCAAACATTTTGTAAGAAGTCTCCAAAGATGAAAGGGAGCTTAGTTATTGGATACTGTGGTAATTTAAGAAAAACTTTGGAGTAGCTCTTGCCATAACTATCTATTAGGCCTAAGTCTGTAGCCATAAGGAGGTTGAGAAGGGACAAGATTGATCCAAGAAGCCCTAAAAATGCCAAAATTCGCCACTAAAAAAAAATGTTGGGAAGGGGCCAAAAATGATTCAAAAATCCTTTAAAATGACAAAATTTGCCTAAAAAAAAAAAGAAAACGTGGTGGAGAAGGGACAAAATTGATCCAAGAAGCCTTCAAAATCACAAAAAAAAAAATGCCTCTAAAAAAGATATTATTCGATCACATGAAAATGACAACGCATGTGTGCCCTTTAGTATCTCTCTCCCCCTTTAGTATCTCTCTCCCTCTCTAAAAATGACAATTCATTCCCTAGTTTTAGGCTTGGGCCTGGTTCTAGAAAAGTAAGGCCTGGGCTACAAATTGTGGCCCGAGGGCTAGGTTAGGGCCAGTGCCGGTCAATTTGGCCCGGCCCGACTCTCCCATTTGTCTTTATTTGTATCAGGCCTGGCCCAATGGGGACAAAAGCCATGCCACCATCCCTCCCTCCCCCCCCCCCGTCCCCCCTTGTTTTTTCCTATTTGTCTTTATTTGTATCAGGCCTGGCCCAATGGGGACAAAAGCCATGCCAAGGCCAGAGCTATCCCGGACCCGGCCCGACCAGTTGCCGCCCTTATCTAATTTCTACATCTCTCAATTGCCATTAAAAACAATAGTTGCTTCAACATTCATGTTTGCCTAAGTGTCTCCTCAGGGAGAAACTTTTACAGAGTGAACACAAAAATTGTCAAGAGAGAGTGTATGTGTGAGGGACCATACTCAAGCATTAGTTGCAACATACAACTAACTTACTTGACCTCTGTCAAAGAAGAAATGGCCTACTTTTAAGCATACACAGCCAAACTTTACCACCGCCATTTATTCTCCACCGGATTAGGACTACTAAAAAGGTGTTGGTTAAGGAAAAAAACGCAGACGGTTGAACGGCTCCATCAAAATGCAAACGAATCCCCTAATCGAGTACTTGGGGTAGACGTGGTTTTGGTGGGGAAAGTAAAATGCCCAAAAAGAGAACAATGCGAATATTTATAGGTGGTGGTGGTGGTGGGGTCTTTTAGAGAGAGAGAGGGAGGGAATATGTTCATTGCTTGACTAGAAATAACCATCACGTCAAGGAAAGGGTATCGATTGGATTGGCACGTGAGAATGGCGTGACTCCCAACTTTTCTCTAACAACGATTGCCATTCGACTGTACTCCCAACCATGGGTAGTTATCAAAAGAGAAGTTTCAATCTTTCTCGTATTAAATGTAAATGATTGTTTATTCAAAATAATACTTATTCCTCACTGATTTTTATTAAAAAAAAAATCGCTCGGACTTGCGCTTATGCATAAGCCAAAGGTGATATTAAGCGCCTTAGCACACCCACATGTGCTTTCGTACTCTGTACAAACATTCCCTCCCTTTGGTTCTCAATGGGAAGGTCCTCTGTACCCACCTAGGGATGACTATGAACCCAACAGAGGCTAAGTCAACCTTGGCCTTGGCCCAACCGTGGTCCTTAGAGGCTTGGCTTGAGCTGTGCTTGGCTTAGACGGGGCCAAAGACGCCTTGGCCCAAGCATTGTCTGGGCTAAGCCGATTGGGTCGGGCGGGGCCAAACACAATTCAAGAAAGGAAACACGTGGAAGGGTGCACAAGCAATATTTCAATGGTTGAGATTTCACAATACTGTATGTAATGGCCAATTTTTAATTCCATATTTTATTTTGTATTTAAATAAATATTTACCTCAATTTTGGGACGTAGGTATATTTTTGTTATTTTTATTTAATTCTACTTATAACTATGAAATGAGACCTGAACTTCATACCAATATCATTATTAAATAAAAAAAACAAAATTCATCTTTCGTCCTTGAAGCTCACCTTTTAAGTACTCACGGCATGTGAACGCAATACCCATGGCCCTGAGCCAACCCTCATGCCGTAGTA